GGGCTGCATTTGAGAGTTGGGATACCATCTTTTTCACCTTTAAAGCTCGAACTTGAAGTAGTTTACATTGCTGCCATCTAGTGAAAACTGGTGGACACTTTGGAATTGAATTTGCATGATTTGCCTGCCACCTAGTGATATGATTACATCTGCAGTCCAGAATAGTGCTTCCTCAAGCTTTTATGTTTTGTAGATGATTACGAATATATAACAAATTGCTGCTTTCTACTTAACAAACAAGCTGGGAAAAATGTTTTCTGTTGCTTGCTTTACTGAAACTACCAGAAAGACTAACTCCAGGGAATTACATATGTTGGTTCTATATGTTACGGGAATTACAACCTATAAAGACAACCCTGGATAAGCAAAATACTTGATGATGATGATTGGCTTAGATAAAGCAATTAGCATGCTTAATCAAGACACAAAGCTAGTTCCAAAAGTAGGCACCATAGTGGCTTTTTTATGTAAATGGGATAACATCTATCACCACAAGCAGGAACGTTCTGTGTATCTGATGGCACTGGTAACTGAGAAGCAACTGCCAGCTGAGTGGGTGAAAGTACTACTGGTGGTAAATTAGGAGCTACTACTGTGACTACAGTCGCATTGGTTGCAACTTCTTTCTGTACCCTAGTTTCTTCAGTTAGTCAATGTGTCATGTTTCAGCCTGAGAAGATTGCTCAGTTTGTTTTAGCTGTTTGTCCTGAACATTGCTTCTCATTGCTTCAAACTTATACCTACAAATAACATTGCTAGTATTCGATTAGTTTTTTTATAGGTACTTTTTGTAATTTACAAATAGGGCATGTGCAAGCTTTTGATTCAATGTGACATTTTCTGATATTGTAAAGCCTTCTAAAAACTGAACAAAACTTTCAGCCAATCCATTTGTAGTTGGGTGATATGATACTATTGTGGTCACTGGAAATACCCCTGGACACTCTGAACCTGCATCCACCACAGTTAAAAAAGTTGTGGCCATAAATGGCCCTGCAAATGGCCTTTGTCATGACAAAGCTGGCCATCCCCACAGGTGAAGTGGTATGCTTTCTGGGGTCATTTGAACATGCTGGCAAGCTGAACAACTCAAAGCTATTCAATGTATTGTTCAATAAACAAAACTACAAGCTAGTGCCATCATCTTCATCACTCAGAGATGCCTAGCATATAGTTCATCCAACACTTGAACTCTCAGCTTAGATAGCATGATGACTTTTGGTCTGCGCATAATACAATTCTGCCAAGTTTAAGTTTAATATGGTGCTGATAGAACTCCATATACTGATATTTTTTCAGTATATTCATGACATCTGGGTTGCTATATAGACTTGACATAGTGTCAGGCCACTTAGAGTTTCTCCTTGAATTATTTCAGCTGTGATGGGAAGGCTCTCAATCTCTGAGAGAAAACATGTCAAAGGAACCCCCACCTGATATGGATTTTCCACAGTATTTACCCTATAGAGCTAAATGAGGCAATCTGTCCACATTTGCATGATTATGTGTCCTTTTCAATCTCATCTGTACTGTGTCCTCCAGAGAATAAACCCTAATGCTGTATTTCAAGCAGCTATTATCCCTTTTTGTGGATTGAGGATTAGCAGTAGGGGCTTATGATCAAGTGGTGAGGATAAACTCCTTCCATACAAGTATTGGTGGAAATGTTTAATTCCCCAAATCAAGCTCAGAAGTTCTGTTTATTTGTCCATAATTATTCTTCTTTGCAGCTGGGAAGGGCTGTGATGCAGAAGTTATTTGGTATCCACTGCTGTCCTTCATGATGTGTGATATCATTTGTGGTGCTGAGGCCATATTGTGAGGCATCACAAGCCATTGTGTGAGCACCATGTCTAACATCACCTCTTTCTTTGATTGTCTGAAAGCTTATTCACACTGTTTTCTCCACTGCCATGTCTTCCCCGCTTGTTCAAGGTGATAATGTGGTAAATAAAGTTGGCAGAAATCTGCTATAATAGT